GCCCCGCACGGCCATCAAGGGCCAAGTATTATCCGACTTCATCGCTGAGTTCACCCTGGCAATCCGAGAAACGACTGACCAACGGTCGTGGGTAATGTACGTCGACGGGTCGTCAACCGCGACTCGGGCAGGAGGAGGGGTGGTTCTGATCGACCCGGAACAACGGGTGTACTGCCACTCTGTCCAGTTCCTTTTTTCGGCCACCAACAATGAGGCCGAGTACGAGGCCCTGCTGTCGGGCCTGAGCCTCGCAGAAACCATGAACCTCACCCACCTCACCATCTTCTCGGATTCCCAGCTACTCGTGAACCAAGTCCTCGGCGTTTACGAGGTGAAAGAACCCCGACTAGTACTGTACCTGGCATTGACCAAGCAACAGATGGCAAAGTTTGTGGCCAAGATCGAGCACATTCCAAGGACGTCTAATGTACAAGCAGATGCCCTCTCACGCCTCGCCTCCAGTGCGAACATGGAAGATGTCGAGTACGTTCAAGTCGGAAGTCAAGGAAGACCTTCTACGTCTACATCGTCGGTTGGCCAAGTCGGAATTGACGAAACCGACAAAATACCGACTTGGATGGACCCAATCATTGAGTACCTAAAATCGGGAACACAGCCCCAGGACCCCCGAGAGGCCAGGTCACTACGGATACGAGCTGCCAGATACACTTTAGATCGGGGAGCACTCTACAAACGAGGGTACTCGGTTCCACTCCTGAAGTGCCTAACGGAGCAACAGTCACTGTTCGTGTTACAGCAGATCCATGATGGTATTTGTGGGAGTCACTCCGGTGGCCAAGCCCTTGCCTACAAAATCCTTCGGAGAGGATACTACTGGCCGACGCTCAGGCGGGACGCCGCCGACTGGGTGAGGAGGTGCACCAAATGTCAGATATTCGCGCCGAACAGGAACCTAGTGCCCGAGCCCCTCAAGTCGATCGTAAGTCCTTGGCCGTTCTCTAAATAGGGGATCGACTTGATCGGTCCGTTACCCACCGGGAAAGGAGGAGTAAAGTTCGCCG